GATGGTTTCTCCAGCTGCTGGGGGTGATTATTATAAAACAAAACATTAACTATTATTAACATTTATTGTTATTTTTTACATTTTAATACAAAAGAAAAGCCCACATCCATGTAAAGAAAAAAACAAAAAACGCACATATAGTTTAACAATTTTATAAAAATAAAAACACTGAACTCTACAGATTTATGTGCGTTCTCTTAATTGGTGGAGAATTAAGTGTCGTATTTAAAGCATGAAGTTAAAGACGGTATAAAATTAAGCCAGTTGGTTGGATATCCAATTACATTTTTAAAGAAAAATAAATACTTTCATTTACTTTGACTTTGTTTTTTTTGTGTTTTATTCTTAGTGTTATCAGTTACTCACCATGTTCGTTCGCAGCAGCTTGTCTTAAAGATATTCCAAAACATTCAGGTGGTTTTAAGAGAAACATCACGCTGTGACACTGGAAGTCGACTTAAAGTGGCTAACAAACTGCTAGCATGATGCAGTCCACGTTTTACACCGTGTATTTGTACTCGTCTTCACATATTTGAATATGACAGGAAATCTGCTAAAACTAGCCAATAATTTAGTTGGCAATAATTTAAATAAAATTCAGTTTTATTTTAGTTTTGGTCGAAGCCTGGAAGAGCCGCTGCAGAGGGACCAAAGAGCCTCATGTGGCCCCAGAGCCGCAGGTTGCAGACCCCTGGTCTAGAATGACAAGTTTTAAACTGTTCTTGGTCATCGCCTCAAAAAGTAAAACTTATTCCTTTATTTTCTATATTTTTGGTTGTTTTAGTGTCTTGTCAAAAATGCTACGCTTTGTTCCAGCATATCCTGCAGGATGAGAGCTTTTCAAGATGGGACAGGAGAAAAAGCTTTAACAGAGTAACCCACGTTGTATAAAAACTGTACACACACATTGAAAAATGTAACTAGCACATGATGCTAAAACATCAATAGCACTTTCATAGTGTTCACAATATCATAATCAGTGAGGGCACATTTCAAACGTTTTGTGTTTGGGAGGAAAATAACCAATCAGAAAGTGTGTTATGCTGTTTCTGGGCGGACTTTCCTCCACCTGTGAAATCCTGCAGGTCATTAAAACAAATTAGTGCAAGTAGATTAGTTAATCTAGTTCTTCTATCAGATTTTATGGCCGGTTTGCTTTGGGCCTTTTCCCAGCTTTCTATGTAATAAATCATAAAGCCAAACATGCTCTAAATATTTTAAGCCAGTAGAAAAGATCCAGCCAATTTTAAAATCTCTTACATTCTTATTGACCATGTCTAGTTTAAATACAGGAAAGTTGTTTTTATTTACATGTATAAATAAATAAGGAGCTTCAAGTTGTGTAATGCCAGTATAATAATCGTTGTCCTTCAAACTGATGCCAATATCTATAATCTGTGCAGAATGTGCAAGCAAACCCACAATTCTTACTAAAATATCACTCATTCAGTTGATTTTTTACATGTTCTCATGTTTAGTTTAATAAAAAGTGCGATTGTTTATGATTAGTAGTAAATCTTAATTTAACAGCACGTAAGGTAACTAAATATCTACAGTTCTGAAAGGTACTTCTTTATACTCGCAGGATGCAGTAGGTATTTACTGTGTTCCTTATTTTTGAACTTCCTCATTAAAAAAACCGCTGTGTAATGGAGTTTCATTTTGGTCAAGAGATTAGCTTACAGCTTTCTGTAACAGTCAGCTAAAATGTCTTTAAACTGAAGCGCTTGCAACTTGAGCCAAGAATGTTGTTAACATGAGACAAATTAGTCCTAATCTCTTTGTCCGACTGATCTTCTGTGCAGGTAATGTCATGTTTATAACAAAGTTCAAATGTGTAGCCTACTTTCTGGAACACTTACAGGTACATCGAAAACACAAATTTGAATATCGTTAAAAAAGTTCAGTATTGTTTCAGTCCTTTCAGCAAGTGAAACTCATATATTTCATAGATTCATTAGTGAAATATTTCAAGCCTTTATTTCGTGTCATTTTGATGATTATGATTTACAAATAATAAAAAAACCAACATCAGTGTCTCAGAAAATTAGAATATTCCACACCCAGTTTTTGGTACTTTTGTCAGTGTGGACCAGTGGCAACAAGTCCTGCTGGAAACTGAAACCAGCATCTCCATAAAGCTCGTCAGCAGAAGGAAGCATGAAGTCTTCACGTGTCCTGCTAGATGCTCTGTGGACTGTGGACTTCAGGAAACCCAGTGGACCAGCACCAGTAGAGGACATGGACCCAATCCATCACTGACTGTGAAAACTTCACTCTGGACTTCAAACAATGTGGATTCTGGGCCACTCCACTCGTCCTCCAGACTCTGGGACCTTGATTTCCAAATGAGATACAAAATTAACTTTAATCTGAAAAGAGGACATTGGACCACTGAGCAACAAGTCCAGTTCTTTTTGTCCACAGCAGGTAAGACGCTTCTGATGTCTCTGGTTCTGGAGTGGCTTGACTTGAGGAATGAGACATTTGTAGCTCATGTCCAGGAGTTAATCAGCTGATCAGAGTGTGACACCAGGAATTTACAATATTGAACCTTTTCACAATGTTTTCGTTTTCTTGGACACAGTTTTGGTTTTTAATCATCTGTAAGCTATAATCATCAAAATATACGAAATACAAACTTGAAATGTTTCAGTCTGTGTATCTATGCAATATGAGTTTCACTTTCTGAAATGATTAACAAAAAATATTGAACTTTTTCCACAACATTCTAATTTTTTGACCTTGGAATCTTCCATGTGCAATTTATCAAACTCTAGTTAAAATTTAATGAGTTTTCTTAAACGGTGTCTTTCTGTTTTCAGCTCTCCCTTGAAGCTGAGTGAAAAACTTGGGCAATGGTTACCATGTGCCAGATGCAGCACATTAACTGCATCGCAAAGAAAGGAAACTATAATCTGGCTGTTCTGTTGGTACCCGAGTGAAACTTAAAATCTGTTTTTTCCAGACAGGTGATGAGAGTTGTGAGGCTTTAGCTGAAATATTTGGAGATCATGGAGGACGACAGCAGGCCTCTGCTGAGCACAGAGTACACAGGAGAGAGTTACTCCCACAGAGGCTCCACAGACTCTCTGGACATTAAAGTCAAAAGGTACAAACAACTGAAACACTGCAAATCCTACATGCAGTCAGTGTAGGTGTGAAAGTGCAACTTATGGGTCTCTGGTTCAGTCATTGGTATTAAAATAAGGCAATGGTTTTGCTTTCAGGCATGAGAAAAGCAAAATTATTGGCTTCAGTGGTCATATAAGGTGTCTACATGCAATCGTGTAGACACTGGTGACTTGGAAATGTATTTTTAACACTGAAAGTAATGTAAACTTGTTTTTATTCCCTTTGAATATCACAGAGGCCATCGTCAAATTCATTATTAGAAAGCTGAAAGATCTCATCACCACAAGACGCAATTAAAATAAGGCTGAAGGTAAACCTGGAAGAGCTGCAGTGTCCACAAGTAGAGACGGGCCTGTCCAGAGGGCCACTATAAGCTGTAAGGTAGCCAGAACATAAAATATCAAGGTGGATCTACAAGAACATGAAACATGGCACACATCAGACAAAAAGGAAAACCGCTAACATATTTCATTGCCTTTATGACTTGATCCCCATAGTGAAGCATGGTGGTGGCGGTATTATGTTCAGAGGATTCCTTTCATGGCAGATCCTGACAAACTGACATCCAGTAGACACAATCTCAGCTCCTGCTCACTATCAAGATAGTTAGTCTTCTCTGGTGTGTTCAGAGCTTCAGACTAGTCATAAAAACATCAAAACACAATCGTTTAGATTTGTGTGAAAGAAGAGTAAATATAATACCATACCAATTTATTTATATAGCACTTAAAACAGCAACAAGGCCAACCAAAGTGCTGTACAAAAGAAACAAACATGCACAGCAGACAGGAAAACATAAAATAGAAATACAGATACAAATAGCAGCAGAAGCTAACTAAAATGGCCAACAGAGTAGAGAACAGACCGGACCAAAACAAATCACACCGTGTTAAGGCAAGCGAATAGAAGTGGGTCTTCAAGCGAGACTTAAAGACTGAGAGTGTGGAAGCCTGCCGGACACTCAGTGGCAACTCATTCCACAGTCGTGGACCTGCAACAGAGAAAGCCCTGTCACCTCTGAGCTTACAACGGGTTTCTGGGACTGAGAGAAGCATCTGGTCTGCTGACCTCAGAG